AGGCTGGAGTGCAGTGGCACAATCTCGGCTCACTGCAACCTCCACCTCCCAGGTTCAAGCAATTCTCCTGCCTCAGCCTCCCAAGTAGCTGGATCTACAGGCACACACCACCACGCCCAGCTAATTTTTGTATTTTTAGTAGAAACGGGGTTTCACCATGTTGGCCAGGTTGGTCTCGATCTCCTGACCTCATGAGAATTATTTTTAAAAGAGAAGTAGCTTGGTTCATTGGGAATAGGCCTGTATGAAGATACTAGAAACTGCAATCTAACTACACTTTGCTTCTTGGTGCTAACCAGCTGTGTGCCAAAAGCCTTGCCCCTTAATCTGGGGCTACATCTTTGCTCATATGGATAGAGTAGTACCTTGTCAGCATAAAGCCAAGAGATGGAGTGAAATGATCTTCTGCAAGCGATTCCTTCTGATTCTAACAGCTGGAATTTTAAAATGTATCTGATAAATTGATTTTATATTTACTCATATTTTCTTCATTTTCCTTTGGAGTGTCAGGAGACTTTATTGTTTATCTGCTTAACTCTTCTCATAAATAATACATGGAAGTTTTTTATTAGTAGGTATCAGTGAAGGAAACTAAAATCCCGAGTTTGTGCTGAGAATAGTCATAGGATCAAAATGAATACTTAGAGCATCTTGAGAATATCTTGGTGTCTCTAGATAGTTCTCAAACTATTCTCCAACTGACCTTGTGCAAAAGTAATTGTATGTTGTTTTCTCTAAACTGGTATATTAACATTCTATCTCCAAAGACTTTCTTTTTGAGTTGAATTTCTATGAATTGTTTAGCAGACAGATGGTCAGAATCTAGGAAAATAATAATAAATTATTTTGTCAGTATTCACAATGAACATCCTTTGAGATTCTGCAGGAAAGAGGAAATAACTCAGAAATTCTTTTTCATCTGTTTGTTGTAATTAGGAGAACATGGCCAGTTAAATATATCAGGTAAAAATATGATATTATAAATTATCATGTGATTCATCAATGAAGTATTAAAGCAAACATTTATAATGTTGTTCCAGTATTCACATAAATAACTTTAGGTGTTCTGATAACTGAGAAGATTATGAATTTATTTTTTTTGAAAACGATTAATTTTTATTAAGTGATATTGTGAACTGAGCCCTCTAGTAATTAACACAAACACAGGCTGTGACTCTCGGGCATTAAAGGGCTTTTCAGAGCTTTGCTTGAAAATGGTGGTGTGCAGTGAGAAGAGCAGGTGAGAGCCTGCAGAGGGCTGACTGGGTAGGATAGGGCTGCAGAAACAGCCCTCAGCTTCTACGTGCTGGAAGGTAATGGCAGGTTAACCTGAGATATAATGGTGTCTTGTTATAAGACAGACCTATTTTTTTTTTCCTGTATGTCTCAGCAGAGAGTAGCTACATCACAGATACTGGTCTTCCTTCTCCTTAGGGGAGTATTTAGAAGGCTTTGTTTCGATGTTGCAGTATCCTGTACAGAGGAAGAGGCTAGGCTCCTTTACCAGCTTCCCAGCTTGCTACCCTGTTTGGCCTTGAAAGTGGGGGCACAGATATTAACCTCTCAAGAGCCAGGCCAGGGTCTAGCTGGATTTACCATCTGCAGCTGGCTACAATGACCACCGGGGCTAGGTAATCTTTTCACATGCATAATGTGAAGTAACAGTTTAGTAGTTTTACTATTACAGGAAACTTGATAAATAGAAAACACAAAGTTCAAACAAGAAAATTAAAAGCACCCCAAATCCTACCACTCAGAAATACCCACTCAGTATTCTACACACTTTAACATAATTGAGATCCTAGTTTGTATGCAATTGTTTGTTGCTGAACATTACTTTATAAGCACTTATTAAACTTTTGAAAATGCTTCTTAAGGATTATATTCAATAGCTGGTTTACATTGAAGAGGACTCATAGTTTATATAACATATCCTTTATTGTTGATATTTAGATTGTTTCAAAATTTTTCTGTTTATATATTCTGTTGAAAGAATGGCTTTCTTCATAAATTTCCTTCTACTCTTTAGATATGTTGGTAGGATGATTTTCTAGAATTAGAATTATGTCATAAGATATGGATATTTTTTAGACTCCCAATATGTGCTATCTTTATAGAACTGTTACGTTGCTGTGTCCTCTAATTTTTGTGTTTTCTCTTATGCTCTTCTGATAGGGTGTAAGATTTTCTGACACTGAAAATGACAATAGCCACCCACTCTAGGCCAACCACTCTAGTGCCAATCAACTGATGAATGACGGTCCTTTGACTTTGACTTAGACCCTGTGAGAGATTTAATAAGAAGTGAAACATATGGTTCTGTTGTAGAAGTTTATAATTCAGCAAAACCAACACATGGAAAAATTCACAAGCAATTCAAGATAGCATCTCTGTAATCTTTCTTTGTAGGATACATATGCAGTAGGAATCTCAGGTCTCTACAATGCAGGTTCTCAATGATCAGTGTGAGCCCTCAGTCAAGCCTGGACCACCATCTGCTCTGGGTTTCAGGGAGGAATTTCTTATTCTCTCTTGTCAATGAAGGTGTCTCGACATACCAGCAAGTGTACCTTCTAATCCCCACAATCTTCCCCCGGATAGTGACAATAATAATGATGATGCCTAACACTTACTGAGCCATTTATCTTGTACCAGGCATGGGGTAAAACTCCTTTTGGGCATTATCTCATTTTATTTGTGTAGCATCCCCATAAGATGGTAGTACTATCCTAATTTTATGAATGATAAAACTGTTGCTTAGAATGAGATCAAGTGATTTCCCCAAGGTCATACAGTAGTCAGGGACAGAGCATTATTCCAGTTCAGAGTATATCATCTTAAACACAAAACCACATAGCCTTTCATGCTGGAAGAGCAAGAAGCTGAGCCTCTGCTGGGAAGTGTTTCTCTGGCAGGCTCTCTAGTGAGAGTGTAGCTGATGTTTGCAGAGGCAGCTCCAGGCAATGGATTTTCTTGATGCTTGTAGCCACAAGTCTAGCAGCTACTCTCCATGGTGTCTCTCATTGCAGGTGTTACTACCCAGCATTGCTCTTGTGGATCCTTCCTTTAAGGTCACACCGTGGACGGCACGGCCACCCTCGTGACCTGCACGTACACTTCTGGAGGGCCTTCTGGAATTAGAAAACCTGAAGTAGCTGGAAGGGAGGATGGTAACCCCTGTGGTGCCTAACCTGAGACATTCTTCTATTGTTTCTTATTCTGGCCTCCATTGACAAGGCCCTTGGACTTTGTAACTGACCTTAGTCAACCTTGTGATTCCACACCCTATGACCCCTTCCCAGCTTGCAGAAAACCACTCTAAAGTTATTTCTGTTAACTTTCCACTGTTAACCCTAAACCTATAAAACCAACTCCTATCCCTCCGCCCTCCACTGACTCCATTTTCAGACTCAGCTCGCCTGCACCCAGGCGAATAAACAGCCATGTTGCTCACAGAAAGCCTGTTTGGGGGTGGTCGGTGCGGGGAGGAGGGTGGTTCTTCATTCAGAGCACACATTTTAGCACTCCCATCAGAGCAATTTGATAGACTCTTTGGTGTCTGCTGAAGTCTGGCTTTCTGGGCTCCCTATCAACAATGGCATATTTTGCCTTACTCTTGGCATCACCTCTGCAGGGTGTCTGACAGCACTGCACCCACAGCTCTGCATTAGTCCTTGACCCTTTGGAGGAAGGAAGGAACCTGGAATTGCCGCACTCAAGGCTAAGTGCCTGGACTCTTGGCTGTTGGTAAGCACTGTCCTTCCCCAGTTCTACAGATGCCCTCTGTAGAACTGCAAAATCATAGAATATTATCATTCTCTCCCTGAAATATTCAAATCTATACTTCTTGTGGACTTGGCAGTAACCTATAATTCCTCTTTTTGTGTCCTCCCCATGGACCTTCAACACAGATGAAGATCAGGCTTCTGGAATATCTTCCAAATTAGGTGTGTAAACTCAACTCTTTTGCCTGGATCCCATGTAGTTGGTATTAAGGTTAAACATTATAGGAACTCAAAGAACACTCCAATAAAAGGCTGTAATGACCAGGAAAGATTTTTTGTAGGAGGCAAAACTAGAGGTGAATTTTGAAATGTCTAGGATTTGAACACCTGGGCTTGATGAGGGAGGACATTTTGAGAGGGAAAACTTAGGTGTGTGATGTCAGGATACAAGACACTATTTGCCAGAATGTGAGACAGCTGGGCTGACAGCAGTCATGCAGTGGTCACAGAGATTATCTAACCTTCTCTTTGGTTGCTTGGGCCCCATAGCACCTCTATGTAATGTACTATTTACAGGCCAATGCCGAGCATTTCCTGGTATGACAGCTCTTACATTGGCTGCTTCTCCTAGGCCAGTCTTATAAATGCCTGGAAAGCAGCCTCCTCTAGATGTTTCCTTTGCAAGCAGGCTAGCTAGCTGCCCACTCGTCACTTTCTAGTTGTTCTCGAGACAGGTCTTTTCAGTTTTTCTTTCTTCTGATATCTTTTTTGTTTTTGGTTGTAGATGTCAGAAATTCAAAATAGCTTAAACATCGAGGGAAATGTACTGGCATGTGTAGCCAACAGATAATTTCTGCTTAGGTTTCAAGAGCATCTTGATTCAGGGGCTGAATGTTTCCCTGTTTCCATATTTCAGTTCTTTATCCCTCTGTTTTGGCTACCTGCTCAGAGAGAGTCTTGCCATGTGGATGTCCCTGGAATTGTCAAGCATTCTTCTTTAGCATCAGAAGATGCTCTGATTGGTCAGGCCTGAATTGTGCACTCACTCATGAAGGTAGACATGAAGTACATTCAGCCCAACTACATGGACCAAATCTAGATTGTGTATGGTCACCAGATAAAAGAAAGGGATGAAGTTAATCAAAAAGAAGCAAATATATGCTAGGTAGTAAAAACACAACCTACATTTCCCACAGTGGATCTCTGAATCTCCAAATATTAGGTTGAATAGTCTCATTGCCCTAAAAGAATGGCTGGAATACCCTTCAGTATTACCTGGATTCCCTGGCAGGCTAAAGAGCAGTGCTGCTCACTGATGGATGCACCTGCCTCACGGGGCCATTGCTGACATCCTGAAAGTCACTGAGAAGATTGAGGAGTCACTTTGATCTCAACTGGGAGAAAGTGATAAATGCTCTGGATGTGCACTGGATCTGGAGAGAGAGAAAGGAGGATGAGTTTATTATCTGGCTTGACTACTTTAGAAGTAAATAACTGAAGCTGCTTAACTCAATCTCTCAGAGCCGTCTTGTCTGAAGCAAGACAGCACGGAAGTTAAGAACATTGGCCTCTAAAGTCAGGCTGTCTGGGTTTGAGCTTGGTTTCTTAATACCAGTAAGCCTTAGTTTCCCATCTCTACAAAACAGTATCCTGAGGATGCAATAAAATTATGCATGTAAAGCACTTGACTTAGTGCATGATACATACTCTATTTTTGGCTTAATACTAATGTTAACAAATAATCCTTTGCACCAGCACATAATGTCACAAAAGCTTGAGAGAGTCTGTCTATCCAGAGGCATGTAAAGTGTAGGACATATTTTCTCCTATTGGACATGGAACTCTTTCTTTCATCTCCATTTTATTTCCTGAGGGGCAAACAAGACTGACTATAATCTTCCTATATGTGCTCTGACAACTAATGGATTTTGGGAGTCACTACCACATCCCCATCTCCCTCCCATGTCCATCATGGAGTCCTGCCTATTCTGTCTCTGAAAGATTTCATGAATCTGATCTGCCGCTTCACTGCCACTGCCCCTGCTCTTATTCACAAGCTCCTCTCCTGCCTGGTTAATTCAGGAATCTCCAACTGAGTTCCCTGTCTCTAGTCTCTTTCCGTCTGGTCTAGTCTACATAATAACGACCTCATCCTTAGCAAGGGATTATTTAAGGCTCTTTTCAGTCTGATTCCAGTCAACCCTTTTATCTGCAAGAATCTCTCCAACAAGACATTTTTTTAGGGTCACAGCCACTGATGTTCGCTGTTCTTAGAAAACTCCATGCACCAGCATATCTGCAGGCTTTTCCCATGTTGTTCTCACTGCCTATCTGCCTTAGCTCTTCTCCTCTTGGTTAACTTCTGCTTATCTTTTAAAGTTCAGCTCCTCTTCCTGGGGTCCCTGTCCCTGTGCTTCCAGAGCTAGCGGTAGACGTTAGTAGTATAGCATTTATCACAGTATTTAACATTTGGCTGTGTACATGCCTCCACTCTGATATGCACCATAAAGTCTTAGAAGAAAATTTGGCTATTTTTATATACCGAGGGCCTAGAAAAAATGCTCTTAAATGCTTATTTTCTGCAATTAATATTTATTCTTAGGTTGTAAGTTAAAAAGAGTAAAATGCACTGCTATACATTTCTTAATACACTACCATTTTATGTTGTTCTTAGGACTTTTCTTTCTTTTTTAATGTATTTTTAGTTATGTAAGTAATAAGAAATAAATGAATGTTGATATGGTTTTGGCTCTGTCCCCATGAATCTCACTTCTAATTGTAATCTCCATAATCCCCATGTGTCAAGGGCTGGACCAGGTGGAAGTAACTGAATCATGGGGAGGGTTTCCCCGTGCTGTTCTCGTGATAGTGCCTTCTCACAAGATCTGATGGCTTTACATGTGCTTGGCATTTTCCCTGTTTGCCTTCCCTTCTTCCTGCTACCTAGTGAAGAAGGTGCCTGCTTCTCCTCTGCTTTCTGCCATGATCATAAGTTTCCTGAGGCCTCCCAGCATTATGAAACTGTGAGTTTAATTAAGGCTCTTTCCTGTATAAATTACCCAGTTGGTATTTCTTCATAGCAGTGTGGGAACAGACTAATACAAATGTATTCTTTTTTTTTTTTTTTACCTGAGACAGAATCTTGCTCTGTCACTTGGGTTGGAGTGCAGTGGTGCAATCATGGCTCACTGCAGCCTGGAACTCCTCCCACCTCAGCCTCCTCAGTAGCTAGGACTACAGGTGTGCCTTGCCTTGTCCGGTTAATTTTTAAATTATTTTTATAGAGAAGGGATCTCACTACATTGCCCAGGGTGGTGTGAGTCTATTCTTATTTTTAAAAATACATTAATTCCCTTTCCCCCAAATAACCACTGTTATTGGCTTGGTAGGTATTTTTCAAGACCTCTTACAATTTTCATTTAAAATTTTAATAACAGCTCTGTTGATATATAATCCACATTCCATAAAATTCACTCTTTAAAAATTTATAATTTAGTGGTTCTTACTGTTTTCACATAGTTGTGCAACTGTCTGATTTTAGAACATTTTTATCATTCTTTTGGTAGTTACTTCCCATTCCTCCCACTCCTCAACCCCCTGGCAACCACTGATTAACTTTCTGTCTCTATGGATTTGTTTTTTATGGGCATTTAATATAAATGGAATCATATGAAAAGACTTTTGTGTTTTACTTGTGTTATTTTGGCATAATGTCTTCAGGGTCATCCATTTTGTAGATATGTTAGTACTTCATTCCTTTTTATGGCAGAATAATATTTTTATTGTCTAGATATACCATATTTTGTTTATTCATCAGTTGATGGACATTTGGGTTGCTTTGAGTTTTTGGTTATTATGAGTAATGCTTTATGAACATTATTGTATAAGTATTTATGTAAATGTGTATTTTTAATACTCTTTGGTATGTATCTAGGAATGAAATTGATGGGTGATATGGTAACTATATTTAACTTTTGGATGACTGCCAAACTGTTTTCTGCAGTAGCTACACCGTTTTACATTCCCACCAGTAAAGTGTGAGGATTCCAACTATTCTACATCTTGCTGCCTTTTGTTATTGTCAGTCAATATGGCTAAAGGTATCTGAGTGGGCATGAAGTAGTATCTGATTGCGATTTTGACTTTCATTTTCCCAGTTACTAATGATCTTGAGCATTTTTTCATGTACCTATTGGCTATTTGTGTGATTCGTGTATCTTCTTTGGAGAAATATCTATTTAAACCTTTTGTTATTTTTTAATTGGGTTATTTGCTCTTTTATAGAGTTGTAAGCATTCTTTATATATTGTGATATGTTATTTACAAATATATATAGATATTTGTGTATGTTATTAGATATATATCAGATATATGATTATTAGATACATATACCTTACAAATGAGTACATTGTATATAATCAGCTATTTGTGAATAATAATGTATTCACAAATCATATATCAGATAATTATTTACATTTTTTTTATTAGATAAAGAATTTGCAAATATTTGATTGACAACCTTTTTATGTACATTTAAATAAATATATATTTATTTTGTGCATATATTTTTATACATTCAGATTTAACTTGGTTTCTTTTTTTATTTTTCTTCTGAGACAGAGTCTTGCTCTGGAACCCAGTCTGGAATACAGTGGTACTACCTCGGCTCACTGCAAACTCTGCCTCCCAGGTTCAAGTACTTCTTCTGCCTTAACCTCCTGAGTAGCTGGGACTACAGGCACCTGCCACCACACCCAGCTAATTTTGTATTTTTTTTAGTAGAGATGGGGTTTCACTATGTTGGCCAGGCTGATCTCAAACTCCTCAGGTGATCCGCCCACCTTGGCCTCCCAAAATGCTGAGATTACAGGTGGGAGCCACCATGTCTGGCGTTGGTTTCTCTTTTTCATACATTTGGGATTATGCTGTTTGTATTGGTAGATATCTTCCTAGGTCATTATACATGTAAGTCTTCCTCTTTATTTTAAATTCCTGCATATATATGCATAGATCATTCCCCTGATGGGATGGACATTTGATAAGTCTCAATATTTTTACTATGATGAACAATGCTGTAAGGAGCATTGAGTAGAGGCTGCTTTCTACACATTTGCAAGTACGTAGCATACCTTGAAGTGGAATCACTGAATTTAAGGGCAGCTGCATTTCACACTGTAATACAGACTATCAAAAATGTACTACATTTCTAGCAACATTATGTAGGAATAACATTTTTTTGAATTCTGACCAAAATTCAAATTTTAGTGTTCTTTCCTATCTGATGAGCAAATAGGTACCTAATTGTTTTACCTTGGAAGAAATTATTTCAGTATCATGATTTCTATAATTTCTTTCTTTGATGCTCTTATAAAAGCTGTCTTTCATCTTATTCTGGAGATCTTTCCTTCACATATGAACCTCTACATGACACAGAAAGGAAATGATAATTGGGCAGGGAGAACCTGGTTTCATATTGTAGCTGTCATGCATGGTGAGGCCAGCTTGAGAAACACATGGCTTTTAAAAGACTTTCCATCGTAAAACAATGGAAAAAACAAACAAACCCATTCAACAGTGGGCGAAGGATATGAATAGAGACTTTTCAAAAGAAGACATATATGAGGCCAACAAACATATGAAAAAAATCCTCATCATCACTGGTCATTAGAGAAATGCAAATCAAAGCCACATTGAGACACCATCTCATGCCAGTTAGAATGGCAATCATTAAAAAATCTGGAGACAACAGATGCTGGAGAGGATGTGGGAAATAGGAACACTTTTACACTTGGTGGGAGTGTAAATTTGTTCAACCATTGTGGAAGACAGTGTGGGGATTCCTCAATGACCTAGATATAGAAATTCCATTTGACCCAGCAATCCCATTACTGGGTATATATCCAAAGGATTATAAATCATTCTATTATAAAGATACATGCACACTTATGTTCATTGCAGCACTGCTTACAATAGCAAAGCTCTGAACCAACCCAAATGCCCATCGGTGATAGACTGGACAGGGAAAATGTAGTACATATACATCATGGAATACATATATACATATACATACATATATATGTGTGTGTGTGTGTGTGACTTTCCATTGTATTTGGAGCTGACCAGACTTTTAACTACAATCCAGAGACTTTTAACTTCACAAAGATGTGGCATTTTATTTTAATAAAGCTATCGACAGAGCGCCCTTTTCGAGTGACTTTTCAAAAGCATCTTTTGTCAGCAGAGGGCTTTTATTAGCTAATGTAACCTTTCTGTACTCCATGTTAGCAGAGAGAGAAAGGAAATGTCCTTGGGTCCAGATATGGAAAGTTGGGCAAAGACCCTCCAGAGGAAAGAAGTTGTCCACTTTCAGAGGCTGCATTTGTCACTCTACATTGTATCTTAATTGAAAATAATAAACTTGCCATTGCTACTCTCCAGAAGGTAAAGGTTTACAAGAGTATGCCTCCAAACTGGCAAGTGCATAAAAGAGATCACAAGGGGTTAAAATATAGAGACCAAGTAAAAGTGTGTATTTAGCCATGAGTGATAACTTGGACA